GATGTTTGGGGGTCACGGATGTTTGGGGGTCACGGATGTTTGGGGGTCACGGATGTTTGGGGGGTGCTTTGCTGGCGCTGGATGTCCTGACTGTGTGCACGGCATTATGAAATCTGAAGACGACCAAAGAATTGTGGGGGGCAATGTAGGGCCCGGTGTCAGGAAGTTGGGTCCCCCGTCAGAGGTCAGAGGTCATACAGCAGGACAATGACCCCCAGAAATGGAGAGTTCTGGACGGCCGGCAATGAGGCCAGACCCGAATCCCACCGAGCTCCTGTGGAGGGAAAAGGAATCTTCCAATCTGAGAGACGGAAGAAGAGTGACCCCCGAATTCCTGGAGAGGAGACTCACTGATGGTGACAGGAAGCCATTCATCCCGGGGGCCGGGCTACCGAATATTCATGGAGGGTGCCGATCGTGGTGTCCGTTGTCGGGGGGTTGCGGGGGAGGGGTCAGATTTGGCTTTTCGTGTCACCAATACAAAGATATAAACATGAGAATCCGAAACTTTTGTCATTGGAGCAATTGTCTGCGCGGAGGGGGGAGGGGCCATGACTGTATATATAATGCCCGGGCAGGGGCATCTATAATATAAACCGGAGCCGTCACCGATGGCAACCAATCAGCTTCCATCTTCAGTTTGTTTATCTAAGTGGGATGAGGATGGGGATGATCTGAGGATGGGGATGATCTGAGGATGGAAGGAGATGTGGGGATGAGGATGAGCGGGGTGATCTGAGGATGGGGATGATCTGAGGATGGAAGGAGATGTGGGGATGAGGATGGGGATGATCTGAGGATGGGGATGATCTGAGGATGGAAGGAGATGTGGGGATGAGGATGGGGATGATCTGAGGATGGGGATGATCTGAGGATGGAAGGAGATGTGGGGATGAGGATGAGCGGGGTGATCTGAGGATGGGGATGATCTGAGGATGGAAGGAGATGTGGGGATGAGGATGAGCGGGGTGATCTGAGGATGGGGGTGATCTGAGGATGGGAGGAGATCTGGGGATGAGGAGGATCGGGGTGATCTGAGGATGATGATGACTCACTGTGGTGTCCGGTGACCCGCCGGGTGTGTCGGGCGATGCTCGGACTCCTCAGGATCGCTCTACCGACAGATTTCAGAGCGTCCATACTACACAGCACACGGGGAGACGCCCAAAGGGGGCGGAGTAAGTCCAGACCACGCCTACCAAACACCTCCTGATCTACGTATTACTCAACCGGGTCCATCTATATACCTTCTACATACCTTATATATCCACCCCTCTATATACCTTTTATATACCCCTCTATATACCTTTTATACACCCCTCTATATACCTTTTATACACCCCTCTATACACCTTATATACCCCTCTATACACCTTATACCCCTCTATATACCTTATATACCCCTCTATACACCTTATACCCCTCTATATACCATATATACCCCCTCTATATACCTTATATACCCCTCTATACCTTATATACCCCTCTATACACCTTATACCCCTCTATATACCATATATACCCCCTCTATATACCTTATATACCCCTCTATACCTTATATACCCCTCTATACACCTTATACCCCTCTATATACCATATATACCCCCTCTATATACCTTATATACCCCTCTATACCTTATATACCCCTCTATACACCTTATACCCCTCTATATACCATATATACCCCCTCTATATACCTTATATACCCCTCTATACCTTATATACCCCTCTATACACCTTATACCCCTCTATATACCATATATACCCCCTCTATATACCTTATATACCCCTCTATACCTTATATACCCCTCTATACACCTTATACCCCTCTATATACCATATATACCCCCTCTATATACCTTATATACCCCTCTATACCTTATATACCCCTCTATACACCTTATACCCCTCTATATACCATATATACCCCCTCTATATACCTTATATACCCCTCTATACCTTATATACCCCTCTATACACCTTATACCCCTCTATATACCATATATACCCCCTCTATATACCTTATATACCCCTCTATACCTTATATACCCCTCTATACACCTTATACCCCTCTATATACCATATATACCCCCTCTATATACCTTATATACCCCTCTATACCTTATATACCCCTCTATACACCTTATACCCCTCTATATACCATATATACCCCCTCTATATACCTTATATACCCCTCTATACCTTATATACCCCTCTATACACCTTATACCCCTCTATATACCATATATACCCCCTCTATATACCTTATATACCCCTCTATACCTTATATACCCCTCTATACACCTTATACCCCTCTATATACCATATATACCCCCTCTATATACCTTATATACCCCTCTATACCTTATATACCCCTCTATACACCTTATACCCCTCTATATACCATATATACCCCCTCTATATACCTTATATACCCCTCTATACCTTATATACCCCTCTATACACCTTATACCCCTCTATATACCATATATACCCCCTCTATATACCTTATATACCCCTCTATACCTTATATACCCCTCTATACACCTTATACCCCTCTATATACCATATATACCCCCTCTATATACCTTATATACCCCTCTATACCTTATATACCCCTCTATACACCTTATACCCCTCTATATACCATATATACCCCCTCTATATACCTTATATACCCCTCTATACCTTATATACCCCTCTATACACCTTATACCCCTCTATATACCATATATACCCCCTCTATATACCTTATATACCCCTCTATACCTTATATACCCCTCTATACACCTTATACCCCTCTATATACCATATATACCCCCTCTATATACCTTATATACCCCTCTATACCTTATATACCCCTCTATACACCTTATACCCCTCTATATACCATATATACCCCCTCTATATACCTTATATACCCCTCTATACCTTATATACCCCTCTATACACCTTATACCCCTCTATATACCATATATACCCCCTCTATATACCTTATATACCCCTCTATACCTTATATACCCCTCTATACACCTTATACCCCTCTATATACCATATATACCCCCTCTATATACCTTATATACCCCTCTATACCTTATATACCCCTCTATACACCTTATACCCCTCTATATACCATATATACCCCCTCTATATACCTTATATACCCCTCTATACCTTATATACCCCTCTATACACCTTATACCCCTCTATATACCATATATACCCCCTCTATATACCTTATATACCCCTCTATACCTTATATACCCCTCTATACACCTTATATACCAGTCTATATACCTTATATATACCCCTCTATATACCTTATATATACCCCTCTATACACCTTATATACCACTCTATATACCTTATATACCCCTCTATACACCTTATACCCCTCTATATACCATATATACCCCCTCTATATACCTTATATACCCCTCTATACCTTATATACCCCTCTATATACCTTATACACACCCCTCTATATACCTTATATACCCCTCTATACCTTATATATACCCCTCTATACACCTTATATACTACCTTATATATACCCCTCTATACACCTTATATACCCCTCTATACACCTTATACCCCTCTATTTACCGTATATACCCCTCTATACACCTTATATACCCCTCTATACACCTTATATACCCCTCTATACACCTTATATACCCCTCTCTGATCATTATATGATATATCCAGGTGTTCTCCAATGCCCTTCCTTACATTGACATTGTTGGGAATAATGGGGGTTGTAGTACCCGAGTCTCGTAGTCCCTCCACTATCAGTCTGTTGTATGGGGGGTCAGACTGCCTGGAGGACAATGACACACTCTCGGCCTAATCAGAGATTTTCCAGCTTGCAGGACAGCGATCACAGCGCCAGCAGACTGAGAGTGATCGTCATTAACCCCTCACACTCTCTGTCCGCGCTCATCGCCCCCACAGCGTTCACAGCACCCGATTTTTGGATTTGGACCTTTAATAAAGTTCTGTATCAGTCGCTGCCACGACCAGACAGGAATGTAATAGAGTGATGATGCAACAAACACCTCTAGACTCCTCCCCCACCCTCCCCCAGCTCCCAGCACTGCGAGGGTGAGATGCTGGTTAGGTCTAGGAGAGGGAAAAGCTGTGATCCTTCCTGTATTCCTGGCTCCGGCTCTCTCCTCTGCTCTCCAACGCTCCGGGTCCTGGCTGTTGGTTCTCCATTGACATCAGAAAGTGACCCCCAGCCAGAGCACCATAGAGAGGAGGCAACGGGGGACCAGTCCCCAGCATGGAGGAAGTCTCCTGAAGAGTGGGGTAAGGGCACAGCATGGAGGAAGCCTCCTGAAGAGTGGGTTAAGGGCACAGCATGGAGGAAGCCTCCTGAAGAACGGGGTAAGGGCACAGCATGGAGGAAGCCTCCTGAAGAACGGGGTAAGGGCACAGCATGGAGGAAGCCTCCTGAAGGGCGGGGTAAGGGCACAGCATGGAGGAAGCCTCCTGAAGGGCGGGGTGAGGGCACAGCATGGAGGAAGCCTCCTGAAGATTCGGGGCAGGGCACAGCATGGAGGAAGCCTCGTGAAGGGTGGGGTAAGGGCACAGCATGGAGGAAGCCTCGTGAAAGGTGGGGTAAGGGCACAGCATGGAGGAAGCCTCCTGAAGAGTGGGGTAAGGGCACAGCATGGAGGAAGCCTCCTGAAGAGTGGGGTAAGGGCACAGCATGGAGGAAGCCTCCTGAAGATTCGGGTAAGGGCACAGCATGGAGGAAGCCTCCTGAAGAGTGAGGTAAGGGCACAGCATGGAGGAAGCCTCCTGAAGAGAGGGGTAAGGGCACAGCATGGAGGAAGCCTCCTGAAGGGCGAGGTAAGGGTTCAGCATGGAGGAAGCCTCCTGAAGAGTGGGGTAAGGGCACAGCATGGAGGAAGCCTCCGGAAGAGCGGGGTAAGGGCTCAGCATGGAGGAAGCCTCCTGAAGAGTGGGGTAAGGGCACAGCATGGAGGAAGCCTCCGGAAGAGCGGGGTAAGGGCTCAGCATGGAGGAAGCCTCCTGAAGAGTGGGGTAAGGGCACAGCATGGAGGAAGCCTCCGGAAGAGCGGGGTAAGGGCTCAGCATGGAGGAAGCCTCCTGAAGAGTGGGGTAAGGGCACAGCATGGAGGAAGCCTCCTGAAGGGCGAGGTAAGGGTTCAGCATGGAGGAAGCCTCCTGAAGAGTGGGGTAAGGACACAGCATGGAGGAAGCCTCCGGAAGAGCGGGGTAAGGGCTCAGCATGGAGGAAGCCTCCTGAAGAGTGGGGTAAGGGCACAGCATGGAGGAAGCCTCCGGAAGAGCGGGGTTTATGGCTTTCAGAAAAGTCAATATTTGCATACAGCGTATGGCCAGAGCTCGGGGGAGGTAAGTACAGAGCTCAGGGGAGGGGTGAGGTTAGTACAGAGGGAGGGGAGCTATGTATGATATACAGGGGGAAGTATATATTATATACAGGGGGGAGTATATATTATATACAGGGGGGTGTATGTGAGAACAATGCAGTAATGTGTTATATCCTATATACTGTATAATTCTATATATACACTATAAGCCCCAATCCCACATCTCTAAATCTGCGCATGCGCAGTGCCAGAGTAGCTGTGTGGACGCGTAGGGGAGCAGGCACGCACGCCTGAATCTGTGGATAACGTCATTGCGTAACGCGTCCTTTGCTGCGCCGTCACCACGGCAACCACAAGGCCGAACGACGCCCGACGGAGCCCGAGATCACTGGAGAATCGTGCGGAATACAGGGAGCGTTTCTAGAATGCAGCTGAAACACCTGAAGAGCCTCCTCACCCCACAGGTGTCACCCATCCGGGCTTCTACACAGGGCTGGGCTGGGGGGGTCAGGTAGGGGTGTGCTGGGGTGTCAGGAGGGTATGCGGGGGTGTCTGGAGGGTATGCGGGGGTGTCAGGAGGTATGCTGGGGTGTCTGGATTGTATGCTGGGGTGTCTGGATTGTATGCTGGGGTGTCTGGATGGTATGTTGGTGTGTCTGGATGGTATGTTGGGGTATGCGGGGGCGTGTCAGGAGGGTATGCGGGGTGTCAGGAGGGTATGCTGGGGTGTCTGGATGGAATGCGGGGGTGTCAGGAGGGTATGCTGGGGTGTCTGGAGGGTATGCGGGGGTGTCAGGAGGGTATGCGGGGGGGGTGTCAGGAGAGTATGTTGGGGGTGTAATGCGGGGTATGTCAGGTGGGGTATGGGGTGTCAGACAGGGTATGTTGGAGGGGACAGGTGGAGTGTCAGGAGAGTATGTTGGGGGTGTAATGCGGGGTATGTCAGGTGGGGTATGGGGTGTCAGACAGGGTATGTTGGAGGGGACAGGTGGAGTGTCAGGAGAGTATGTTGGGGGTGTAATGCGGGGTATGTCAGGTGGGGTATGGGGTGTCAGACAGGGTATGTTGGAGGGGACAGGTGGAGTGTCAGGAGAGTATGTTGGGGGTGTAATGCGGGGTATGTCAGGTGGGGTATGGGGTGTCAGACAGGGTATGTTGGAGGGGACAGGTGGAGTGTCAGGAGAGTATGTTGGGGGTGTAATGCGGGGTATGTCAGGTGGGGTATGGGGTGTCAGACAGGGTATGTTGGAGGGGACAGGTGGAGTGTCAGGAGAGTATGTTGGGGGTGTAATGCGGGGTATGTCAGGTGGGGTATGGGGTGTCAGACAGGGTATGTTGGAGGGGACAGGTGGAGTGTCAGGAGAGTATGTTGGGGGTGTAATGCGGGGTATGTCAGGTGGGGTATGGGGTGTCAGACAGGGTATGTTGGAGGGGACAGGTGGAGTGTCAGGAGAGTATGTTGGGGGTGTAATGCGGGGTATGTCAGGTGGGGTATGGGGTGTCAGACAGGGTATGTTGGAGGGGACAGGTGGAGTGTCAGGAGAGTATGTTGGGGGTGTAATGCGGGGTATGTCAGGTGGGGTATGGGGTGTCAGACAGGGTATGTTGGAGGGGACAGGTGGAGTGTCAGGAGAGTATGTTGGGGGTGTAATGCGGGGTATGTCAGGTGGGGTATGGGGTGTCAGACAGGGTATGTTGGAGGGGACAGGTGGAGTGTCAGGAGAGTATGTTGGGGGTGTAATGCGGGGTATGTCAGGTGGGGTATGGGGTGTCAGACAGGGTATGTTGGAGGGGACAGGTGGAGTGTCAGGAGAGTATGTTGGGGGTGTAATGCGGGGTATGTCAGGTGGGGTATGGGGTGTCAGACAGGGTATGTTGGAGGGGACAGGTGGAGTGTCAGGAGAGTATGTTGGGGGTGTAATGCGGGGTATGTCAGGTGGGGTATGGGGTGTCAGACAGGGTATGTTGGAGGGGACAGGTGGAGTGTCAGGAGAGTATGTTGGGGGTGTAATGCGGGGTATGTCAGGTGGGGTATGGGGTGTCAGACAGGGTATGTTGGAGGGGACAGGTGGAGTGTCAGGAGAGTATGTTGGGGGTGTAATGCGGGGTATGTCAGGTGGGGTATGGGGTGTCAGACAGGGTATGTTGGAGGGGACAGGTGGAGTGTCAGGAGAGTATGTTGGGGGTGTAATGCGGGGTATGTCAGGTGGGGTATGGGGTGTCAGACAGGGTATGTTGGAGGGGACAGGTGGAGTGTCAGGAGAGTATGTTGGGGGTGTAATGCGGGGTATGTCAGGTGGGGTATGGGGTGTCAGACAGGGTATGTTGGAGGGGACAGGTGGAGTGTCAGGAGAGTATGTTGGGGGTGTAATGCGGGGTATGTCAGGTGGGGTATGGGGTGTCAGACAGGGTATGTTGGAGGGGACAGGTGGAGTGTCAGGAGAGTATGTTGGGGGTGTAATGCGGGGTATGTCAGGTGGGGTATGGGGTGTCAGACAGGGTATGTTGGAGGGGACAGGTGGAGTGTCAGGAGAGTATGTTGGGGGTGTAATGCGGGGTATGTCAGGTGGGGTATGGGGTGTCAGACAGGGTATGTTGGAGGGGACAGGTGGAGTGTCAGGAGAGTATGTTGGGGGTGTAATGCGGGGTATGTCAGGTGGGGTATGGGGTGTCAGACAGGGTATGTTGGAGGGGACAGGTGGAGTGTCAGGAGAGTATGTTGGGGGTGTAATGCGGGGTATGTCAGGTGGGGTATGGGGTGTCAGACAGGGTATGTTGGAGGGGACAGGTGGAGTGTCAGGAGAGTATGTTGGGGGTGTAATGCGGGGTATGTCAGGTGGGGTATGGGGTGTCAGACAGGGTATGTTGGAGGGGACAGGTGGAGTGTCAGGAGAGTATGTTGGGGGTGTAATGCGGGGTATGTCAGGTGGGGTATGGGGTGTCAGACAGGGTATGTTGGAGGGGACAGGTGGAGTGTCAGGAGAGTATGTTGGGGGTGTAATGCGGGGTATGTCAGGTGGGGTATGGGGTGTCAGACAGGGTATGTTGGAGGGGACAGGTGGAGTATGTTAGGTGTCATGCGGGGTTGCCCGGGGCGATGTGTGATCAGGTGACCTCTCTTGCAGGACGGAGCGGCGAAGGTGACGTGCATGGCGTGGTCGCAGAACAAC